GAAGCAGCGCGTACCCAGCCTGGCCGGCCGCCCCCGTCACAGCCACCCTCACGCATGGCTTATCCGCGGACATCTCAACCTGCCTGCAGACTTGCTTTTGAAAACTTGCTTTGTGCGCAAAAACTTACGGCAACAAATTGAAGGGAAAACGTTTCTCATTGGGGCTCCCCTCGGCAAACGTCCGCAGCGCTCAACCACTCCCCGCGCCAGCTGCCCCTCCCCCGAGAAGGGGGAGGAGGGAGGAAAAGGAGGGACTACACAAACAGTGTGGAGCTGCGCCCATCCGCGGAGGAGCTCGTTCTGGCAATACTGGCTGTTGCTTTCTTTTGCGCGTCATTGCCATTGATTCGGCAGTTTTTTTGTGGAAAATGAGTCGGTGGAATTCTTACTAGCTGCGGGCCTCGCCGAAGTAAAGCATGAAGCCTAACTCTTCAGCGAAGGACAGGCAGCCAAGCAGCAGCGTTCGGTCCACATGCCTACCCTGTTCGTAGACGCAAATCGCCTCTTTGTAGTGAAGGGCTAGGTATACCTCTTTGCGGTTGGCAGCGAAGGCAGAGCGCACCCCGACACCGCAGGGGATAAGAGAAACGATTGAATGCTGTGGCTTTCCCGCCCAAGTCCACTGCTTCCTTAGTGTTGCATTCTGGTTTGAATGTTTAGCAGCGACGTATTGCGTAGAACTCGCTCGCCGAATGTTGTGAGCACTGCCAAGGCGTAGGATTAGCGTGCAGTGGGGCGTCAGTCGCTCCTGTATGCGCGATGCGGAACAGCCTCGAACTATCGCGAGCGCAGTTTGCCGCAGCACATCAGTGTCCTGTGGCACCTGCACGGCCCCTGCGGTGCCTTCGTTTTTGTCATGAGCGCCCCAGTGCCCTGGAAAGCATAAGCGAGTCACACGTACTGTGCAACACACGGCAACGTGCCTCGCGCGGAATCCCCTGAGGCGAACCCACCCATCGCAGCACCATATCTTCAGCTGTGGAGTGCTCTATTTCCTGCAGCATCGTAGTAAAAGAAAAAAATGTTGTGCAGAGAAGGAAACGAGGTGCACGCCGCACAGAACACGCCCACAGACACCGAAAAAAGGGCAAGTTGCAGGTAATAAGTGGGGATGAAACCTAACCATCCAATTGCAGAGAGTATATCTCCCTTGTATCTAAAAGGGCAATAAATAAAGCAAAAAGAACAAAGTATTTTAAGTGGCGTTGCAAAGAGCGGTGCTCGACGGCTACTGCTTACCGGCAGCTGCCTTGGCCTTGCGAGCAGCGCGGGCCTTCTCAATGCGCTTCTTCGCCGCTGGCTTGCTGTCAACCTTCTTGGCGTTCTTCTGCAGTTTTTTGAGTGCGACCTTGTGCCAAGAGACGGGCTTCTTCTTGTCGTTCTCGTCAAAGATCTTGCGCGTCCAGAAGGCACGAGAGCGCTTGGCGACGCGCAGCTGGTAGCGCTCAAAGTCGGTCGACGTCGCAAGCGCCTTCTTTGCCGCAATGCGTACAGCGGCCTTCGTGGCAGCGTACTTCTCGAGAGTCTTCTTCTCCGCGAGTGCCTCCTTCAGTGCCTTTGTGCTGCAGTTGCGGTTCACCGGCACCCTGAACTTCAGCGGCTCAACGTTCTTCAGGTTCTGAACATGGCGCCACATCTTTTCGTCGGTAGGGTTCTCCACGAGCACGCGGTTGCCGTCGATGATGTCAACAACAACCCCGACGCGGTCCTGACGAGGGCCGCGGATGATGCGCACCAAGCGACCCGCGCGGATGTAGTTCGCGTTCACCATTCTTCGCCCTTTGCTCCTTGCTGCCTATTCCGTTGAAATCCGGAGGAGAGAAGAGAAGCGAGAAGCATTGACCCCACTTTGCAGCACCGCCCTCTTCTCATCGAACTGACTTACCCCTCCCCCCCTTCCCCACCCGCCGTTGCCTGTAGTGGCAGGCGTTACTGCTGTGGGCCACCAGTCCGTTTTTTTTCTTTTTTTTGCGTTTGGCTTCGGGCATGCACCCACCGCGAGTATCCATCCATACATTCATATACATATACATATATATATATATATATATCAGGAGGGTGAGAAAGTGATGGGGCAGGGCAAGTACAAACGGTACAATTACAATAAACACACGAGAACTAAAGGAAAAAAAAAACAACAGAAGAGAAGAAAAAGAAGTCGAAGAGGCTCAATCAAATAAACAGGTGCAATAGTTGCGTCACTTTACATAATATTTTCCATCGTCATGGTTTCCTCCCTTTACTGTTGCAGTCCCTGAGTACATACATCCATATACACATGTGTAGCTCCCGTCACCGTGGTGTGCCTGCCACCGCGGTGGTCTGTTGTCAGCTTCACTGTCTCTGTTGTTGTTGTCGTTTTCTTCCTTCTATTCCCCCCGCCTCTTTTCTTTTTTAATTCTTCCCGTTTTCTTTTTACCCCCTCTTTCATTGGCATCGGCGATGTGTATCTATTTTCTTTCATTGCGCGCCGCCTCCGCGGAAGCGCTGGGGCCCCTATATGGCGAGGGCGCAGACGCAGGCGGCGCCCATCAGCTGCCAGTAGTCCGACCCCTTGTCTGTCGGCACCTCGAGGGAGAGCACGTAGTTGGAGCTGGCACCCAGGGAGGAGATGACGCCTGCCCGCACCACCGTTCGGTACAACGGCACGCGGTGCCACTCGGCGCCCATCTTGTGCTGCGGCTCCGGCAGGAAGTGCACCACCGGCAGCGACGCGTACGGCTCCCCCGGCAGCGAGTCCGCCATGACGCCGCGCGTTTGGTCCCAGCGCCAGGCGTCGGTGAAGATGCCGTACACGTAGCACCCGCGCTCTGGCCCCGCTCGAATATTATCCGCCTCCTCTTCTATCATTTGAAAGCGGAAGCCCAATTTGTCGACGGAGACCCTCTCCGCACGCGAGAAGGCCTGAAACACGCCGGTCATGAAGGCGCTCGGATTGAAGAAACCGCCAATCCAGAAACAGGCCGGCTCCCCCTTCTGCACCCATGTGCGAATAAACTGCACCCGCTGCAGGAATTCACGGTACCACGAGCCTAACGGCTTCAGAGAAGTGTACCCCACCGCGCTCCAGAGACGAGGGACCTGGTCGGTCAAGAAAGATGCATACATCGCATCAAGGTCTGCTGAAAGCACCGTCAGCCCTTGCAAGGCTTTTTGTAGATCATGAATCGATTTACGCATCGCCACAATTAACTTGTTGTACTTCACCATCTCGTGGGCCAAAACCGTGGACATGGAGTTGGGCAGACCACTCTCCAACGTGGTGAAACTTTTTGGCCCGGCCTCCTCACGCGAAATCACCTCCGGCAGTGTGGACTCGAACTCTTCACACTTTCGTTTTACCTCTTCCTCAGGCGTCACAGCCCCACCTTCGGCCCCACCGCCACTACCGAGACGTGGTTGGATGGAGACGACGGTGCTCATGAGATACTGTGAGACCTGCAGTTGATAACGAAGATTTGCGTTGGTGTGCATCCCGAACACCTCAGGCTCATCCACCAGTGACATTTGTTGAATGTGCTCCATGAAGCTCGCGAGGCTTCCAGGCGGTGGGGCGTAGTACTTGCCGCTGGAGCTAAACTTAAAGTCTTTGTTCATGATAGCGGGGCAAAGGTAGGCACGCAGGATTGTCTGAAGCGTCCCACGGTCCTGAGGATCCGTCACGCGGCCACCGTAGTTGATTTGACCAATGATGTACTCAAGAGACTCCCACGGGATTACCTCCTGCTCCTCAAAAAAGAGACGCAGCCACTGCTTTGACACGTGAAAGTCGGTGTCATTCCACTCGTAGCGCACATTCCAGCCTAGGGGGCCAAATTTCTTTCGCTCAAGCACCACGGAGTGGAAGAAGCACAAGCCGTAGAGCAGCTTCTTAAAGGCCTCGGCTTTGGAGTAGTTGCCCATCCGCTGGTCGGCACCAAAGACCTCAAACTCCTCCTCTGTGATTTCACCGAAGCAGCGGGCCATGTTCGCCTTGAGACCAGTTGGAGGCTCGTTCGTCAGTTTGATGCTGTTTTGCAAGACAAAGATGGGGAAAAAGTCGGTGGGCATCGACGTCAACCAGAGACGGAAGTCTGCGTGGATGCTGGCGCCGGGCTGCTGCAACGCGGCCACCTGCAGCTCCAACTCGGGCATGAAGGTCTTCGATAAGTGACAGTTCTGCAGCAGGGCCCACGAACCGTTTTTCCTGCACGTCGCGATGAGACGTTTGGCATTGTCGCCTTGTCCCTGACCAAGCGAGACGTACTGCAGCGAGCGTTCCTGACTCTGCGCAAAGGCTTGCAGTGCCCCCATTGGATCCGCCCCCTGCGAGAGAATGAACACAATGGGCACGGTTGGGGAACTGTCGGAGAGCGCAACCTCCAGACTGAACGGTGGCGGGTCCACGAAGTGTTGCCCCATCGTGTAACTTACGTAGTCGGTTAGCGCAAAGTACAACTTCTCCTCACGGAAGCATCGAATCAATAAAATGCGCTGAAATGCGTTCAGCTTCTCGTTCCAGTTCCCGGGCAGTTCGACATCCTGCGGGGCATCCGAGTGAATGAACTCCTTCCACGACTCCATATCCTCCAACAAGTGTTTCTCCAAGTCACAGAAGCAATGCACATTGCGAAAGAGCGCCACGGTAAGTTCCCACTGTTGCCGCGACAAAAACGATAAACCTTCTGGTAGCGGTGGCAACTCGCTTGGCACCAGAGCAGACGCCCGGATAAAGTACTGCCACTCATCCTCCAGTATACTGCGCTCTTGACGCTCGATGGCGGTGCAAATCAGCAGCGAAAGGATGGGCTTGTCCTTGTTGAATAGACCACGACAAAGCTGCTTATACGTGGTTAAGGTCAGCCTATAAATGATGTTCTCAAGATGTTCCTGCAGCATCACCTGATTATTCTCTGAGTATGCCTCCGGCTTCTCCGTCACCTGCACCTCATGCTGAACCAGCTTGATGAAGAACTGCAGTGAGTACTGGTACATGGGATCAATGCGGGCAATGTCGGCGAGGACAAAAAAGATAACGGAGGCACGCACCGCCACGTCGCGGTAGCGGTCACGTGTTGACGTGATAATCTTCATCTTATCACTGGCGTCTTTTTGGTTTTCACTAAGAACCTGCGCATTCGACTGCGCCGACTTCAACTCGGCGATGAGCTCGCTGTCGTCCAAGATGTTCCCTTTGGTGTTCTTGAGCTTGCTGAGAATGGTTTCCTCGATCACCTTCAGCTTCTTTTGCCCCAGAGAGATGCACTGAATGATGCGGTTTTTCTCCTCCTCCAGTTCTCGCTTCTCAATGGAGACAACCTCCCCCAGCAGCTGCTCCTCGAGGCCATCCAGCGTGACCGTGAAGTTCAACAGCGTCAGTTTGGTGCTGATGTCTGGCAGGTAATGCGGGTTCGGCAGCTTTGTGCAGATAAAGAAGCGAAAGTTGGGGTGGTAGTCGATGGCGCCAGACTGTGGGGTAAGTTTGATTTGAGGCGAGCCCCCTTCAGCGGCGAAGATGCGCCGCGAGAGGAGGGGCTCCAGGGCGGGGTCCAGCGTTTCCCCGACATCGTCTAAGATCACCACCCCGCCTAGGCGTATCTGCACCTCAAGCGTGCGGATCCAGCTGGGCTCCGTCAGCTTGATCACCTTCACGGCGGCGGTGGCGGCAGTCTTTGTGAGGGTCTTGGCTCCCCCCGCACCGCTGCCAACCCCCGCGTACTGCTGCACCAGCCACTTCAAGCCCTGTTCCTGGGGATCAATAAAGAGCGGCCAGCGACGCGGGGCCGTGGAGAGGGAAGCCACGATGGCGTTCTCCGTGGAGCTCTCATCCGTGGGCAAGCCGTTGATCTGCCACGTGAGGGTGTCCATGGGGTCGCCCAGCGTCTGGCACAGGCTAAACTCCCTCATCTCCTGTCCATGCTCGCCCAACTTCTCAAGCCAGAGCCGAACGAGATGCTTGCGAAAACGGGGGGTGAAGGCACCAAAGTACGCCGCACACGCGCTTGCCATGAAGCACTGAAGCGGAAGTAACTCAATGCGCCCACGCAGTTGCGTAATATTCGCCTCCCAACGCACCCCCTCACTCTTAAGTGAATTCGACAAACTCTCCGCGTTTTCAAGGCGTCGGATGCAGATCTTAAGGCCCTCCTCCAAGTCCTGCTTCCGTTTAGAACTGGTTTCGTAGTTCTTTTGCAACTCGGCAAGCTCCAGCTCCACACCAGACAGCTGCTCTTGAGCCTCACGTAACTTCGCATTCGTTTCGGCAAGATGGCGCTCCGCCTCCGCAGCCGCCTCACGCATTGGTGCCACCTCCTTCACCACCTTGGAGTACTCATTCACGGCACGCACCCAGGCACAAAGACTGCCGCATGTCTGGGACCCTTTCAGTGAGCAAATCTCCACCGTAAACTCCTCATCGTTGACGTACTTTTGGATTTTGTTCAGAATAGCGGGCTTTACATTGTCGGTGGGGTAGCTGCGGACCATGTCCAGCAGTGGACGATACGACAAAAACTCACGCGCCCCTTTCCAGTCTGTGTTGCCGGACCACGCGCCGCCAAAGTCCTTCGGGTCAAACATCACCATACAAGCCTGCGTTGTCTTGAGAACGGCGGAGGGAGGATTTGCAAAGGAACGCAACTCGTTGAGGTCGCTAGCCTGAATGGTGTCAAGCGCCGCCTTGGCCTTGTCGATGATGGGCTTGGCCTCCGCCAGACGTGCATTCGCCTCGTTGGCAATATGCGAGGCATGCAGTTGCTGCTCTGCCGCGCTCTCTTGTTGTGCCTTCACCTGCACTTGCACCTCGCTGGCCTTCGCCTGCCGCACGGTGAGGTCGGCCACGACCTCCTCCGTCTCTTTAGACGCCTTTTCCAAGAGGGGGCGCTTGGTCTCAATCTCCTCCTTCATTTTGGCAATGGTCTCATCCGTCTCCCGCATCTTTTGTTGGCCGTTCACGACACGCGAGAGCTGCTCCTCAAGTAGGGCGCGCTGCTCGTTGTAAAGCGCCTTGTACAACTCAATAAACTCCAGGTACGTGGTCGGGGTGATGTAGTAGCGCCGCCGCAGCTCCTCCCAATACTCCTGCGCCACAGCAATCACCGTGGTGTGAATATCCACGCAGAGCGGTGCAAGCACCGGCAGGAGTTGGTTCGACACACCGCTCTCGGCGTCCTCAAAGAGGCGCTGCGCCACGCCGAGAAGGGCCTCCCTGGGCCACTCGTCGAACCAGTCGATGACGCAGCAGTTTGTGAGGGACGGAAACTGGCGGCAGCGGGTGCGAAACGTGTCCCCGACGGGACTCATGCAGAGGACAATGTGCGTGTTATCACGGACACGCGAAATAAAAAAGTTGTACACGTCGTCGCGGTCGGTAATTCCGCGTTCCTGGGCGGCCTCGAGGCAGGCGTTCACACGCTTCTCCCGCTCATCCGGCGTGAAGAGCGATGGCACCTCCCCAGAGTTGAGCATGCTGTTCACGTCCTCTAGCATCCCCTCGTGCACAATTTGATCGTCCGAGATGAGGAAGACAGAGGGCTTGCAGTGAACCCCGGTGGTGGTGTAGAGCTCCAGGAGGAACTCGTGGAACTCGTTCATGGAGTACCCTTTACCCACGGAGATCTCGAACGTCTTCCGCTCAGCGATGGAGGCGGCGAGGCGCGTTAGCGAGCGCTTCCCTGAGCCGCCAACCCCCACCAAGAGGGCATTACCGCGTGGCTGGCGCAGAATACGAATAATGCGCGCCAAGTGCTCGCAGTGATCTTTGAAAAAGACAAGGTTCAGGAACGAGTTCCCACCGCCGCCGCCGCCGCCGTCCTCCTCACGAACAGTTCCCCCACTCATGTACGCGTTGTAGTCGTCCTGGTACTCGCTAAAAAGCCCTGGAAGTTTCTTGAAATCGGTCAACTCCTCATACGTCCTATCCACGGCACCTATGCGGAGGAAGTCTGCCCAGACAAGCGGATCCCCTTCAAAGTAGTCCGCGTGTGAGTGCTGGCCGGCAAGAAAACGTGTCAAAGAGTCCATCATAAGCTCCTCGGTAAAGAACAAGCGGTCCTCCTGCGTCGCCAGACGATCGTAGAAGCACCGCAAGAGTTCATGAATCCACAGACGGGTGACGGAGCGCTTCACTTTGCATACACGTGGGGTCACCTGCGTAATGCCCTGGAACACCTTCGCCAGGTCGCGCAGGTTAAACGTATAGTGCGGTGTCGTCGGCTTCGGTCGCATCGCGTCACGGACTTTATTAAATATGTCGACGCTGGCGTTCACAAGCGACTTAGCCATGTCCCGCACCTCTCCACTGAAGTTCTTTGCCTGGAAGAAGCCTTGCAGGATGGAGTGGAAAATGCGCTTCATCGAGTCATCGTTCAGCGTCGGGATGAGCAGTAAATGAAAGAGGCGTGTGAGTCGCGCCGTCACGGGATTTCGCCCACCTTCTGGTGGCCCACACGCCGCCACAACCGTCACGTCCTGCACGTGTTTCCAGAACCCGGCGAGCTTGCGGTCGTAAAAACCGCCATTCCCCATCATTTGCCGAAGCAGTTCAATCGGCGGCGAGGCACCGAACGTCTCAAGCGCCGGCATGTTGAGATCGTCAATGAAGAGAACTACCTTTCGCCCGGGCGGGGCCCCAAGAATGTTCTTGCGCTTGTGCTTCAGCTTCGACTCAATCAGCTCCTGCGTCCGCTCGGAGGAGGTTTGGGCGGAAAATTGAAAGACGATGACCGACAGCTGCTGCTCCTCCTTGTGACGCCTCAGGTAGTCCATCATGATGACGCTCTTCCCCACACCCGTCTGGCCGTTAAAGAGCAGCGGCTTGCCGGAGTGAATCAACGTCCTCGCCAGGGTGCTGTAGCGCACGGTGTCAACGGTCGGTACGAGGATGTCAAAGTAGGGCACCGTGAGGTCGTAGCGAAACTCCTCCATGTTCGTCTCCCACGGGACGAAGAGCCGCGTCGAAAAGTCAATCTTGTAGTCATACACGGAGCCGCTGTTTGGAAAGCGAGCCACCGTCTCTAGCAGGCTTCGTGCCAGGGTGTCAAACTGGTCCATGGCCGCCGGATCCACATTGCCACCGATAGACCACACAAAGGAGAAGACGAAGAGTAGCCCGCACACCTCGTTACGTTCCTTGAAAACTTTGGAGTCGAAGGGCAACGTCGTCTCCCCCTGCGGGTCCGGCATCAGCGTCACCGCGTTGGCGTGTATGAGGGCGGTGAAAAGGTCACACAAGGACTGAACCACATTCACCACCCCAGCCCCGATGAGCACCTTCTGTTGCGCAAGCCAATCCAACCCCTTCTGCACGTACGCGTTGAACAGGGAAAGAATGAATTCACGACACTGCGGCTCACCGCCCGCGTCGGCCAGCTTAGACTCCGTCCAGTGATGCACCACGGCGCTCCAGTGAAGGTCCATGGCGTCGAGGTACACCATGCCGCACCGTGAGACGGTGGCGGGGGAGGCAACGGCAAGGTCTGCAACCTCAAAGAGCATGTGAATGGTCTCGGGGAGCTTGATGCGCTCGCCGCTGTCAAGGCACAACAACTTGGAGTCGTCAAGGACGGAGTTTAAGGACTCAATCCACAGCGTGTCCACCGGACCATCAAAGACAATCCAGCGATGATCTTTATTGAGCTCCGAGTCACTAACGCAATTCTTCGCAATCACCGCCAAAACACCGTCGCGCCACTCATTCGTGTTGACGTCTAACTGACCGTACAGCTCGGACAGCAGGACAGACTTGGGATTCATCACAAACTGATGCACGGGCCGAGCCATGGGATTGTTTGACCCTGCCCCAGACATCGTGCCAAGGGCATCGGCGATGCAGTTTCGAATCTCCGTCTTGCCCGTTCCAGTGACGCCGACCAGCATGACGCCGTGACGCACAATAAGTGTTTCATAAAACTGGATACCCTTCGTCACCCACGTGTCGAGAGCCTTCAACTTATTTGCCTCAATGCTCTTATGCATGGCGGGTAGCAACTCCACGTACTGCCGCTCAGGAAAGGTGGCACCGGTGAAAAGGTCCTGCATAATACCTCTGAAAAGCGGAAGGTCCTCCGCGACAAACTTGGGCACATTGGAGTCATTACATGCAACAATGAGGGTGAGGTCTTCCTCCACATCTGGCTGGGATCTTTTTAGGTCACCCGCCATGACAAGAATGGACTTGAGTGCACGCATCCCAAAGTCGTAGTGGTCCTGCGGCGAAAGCTGCTCGGAGCTGAGTTTGTACAGCTGAGTGATCTTAAGTGAGAGGTCCTTGGCGTTCGTGAAGCCCTCTGAGTAGAGAATCACTTCGGCAATCATGCGGAAGTCAGGTGTCATGACGGCCACGGGTCGGAAGAGAATCTTCAGGTTATCTGGCAGCTCGGTACGCCCCGCATACCCAGGATTCATTGTGACAAAGGCACCGTAGGTGCGCCGCACTCGCACGTTGGGGCTGCCTTGGAACGTAAAGGTCTCAAGCCCGTTTTGCAGGGCAATTTTAATCTCCAGCAACTGTGAGGCAATCACGGAAAGCACCTCAATGTTGATACGGTTAAACTCGTCCAGGCAGGTCCACGCCCCTGTTTGAATGAGGCCGGAGAAAAACTTCTCCATCATTTTGTACGTCACACCATCGGAGCAGTTGTACACGATGCACTGGCGGGCCAAGTTCTTCGCCAAGTCCTTCACGGTCTCGGTCTTTCCGGTTCCTGCAGGGCCCGCAGGCGCGGCGCCGAGGTTCAGCTTCAGTGCCCCAGTCACCGTCATGTAAATACGATCCGTGAGCGGGGTGATGACAAGGCGCCCCTGCGCCCCCAAGTACTCGTAGCCGTACACAAAACGTGAGTTGTTCTGCCGAATAAAAATATTCCCGTGCCCATCCTCGTCTTGCTCCCAATACACGCGCAGCTGTTTTGTCCAGCCAAACTCCTTTGGCTCCAACACGCCATTGTCACACATTTCATCCACCAAGTCACGGCCGTGCACGTCGATGGTGATGAGCGTGGAGAGAAGAATGCGCTGCACCTTCGACAGCTGCTTTGCTGTCAAACCTGCGAGCTCCTCCAGTGTTTTGTAGCATTCCTCGCGAAAGGTCGACATAAGACTATCCGAGTCTGGCTGCCCAAGCGCCTCCTCCACCCCACGCGTCCAGAGCAGTTGCTCCATGATGAGAACCAGCTGCACGGGGTGACGAAACATCCAGGTGGTGCGGTCACCGGTCGCCTCATAGTCACTCAGGCACGTATTCGCATGCTTACGGAGTGTGGAGAACATTTCACGTTCCAGCATGTCAATCCAGACCTCCACCGGGCCGCGTGCCTTGATGCCCTTGTTGACCAGCTCCACCCGTTCCCCCTCCATTGATACGAGGTGTGTGATGTCGTTGGACTCCAGGAAGGACAGGGTTTTGATGCCGTCGAACATCTTCAACATGTGTGGCATAATCAACTCCGGGGTTTTGACCTTGGCAAAAATGTCAAGCAGGTCATCGTTGCTGAGGAAGTAGAAGCGCGGGAAGGCGCAGCGCTTCTCCTCCAGCTTGCGCTCCAAGCTCGCCAGAACTTTTTCCAGCTCCTTGATGTTGTTTTCAAGGTCCAGCTTGAGCGTCTTGGTGGTGGTGGCGTCGCCCGTCTCCACCGGCGCATTGATGAGCAGCCCACGGTAGGCGGTGGGCATGTCGTGCGCCTTCCGCATCAAGTCCCGGAAGAAGCGGTCCACCTTTTCAAAGCGTTTGGCATCGTCCTTCCATTGACTGCGAATCTCCGCGGAGGAGAAGATGTTTTCGAGGTAAATCCAGTTGCGTTGCAGCTCGACCCAGCGGTCAAGCGTCTCCTGCATGTACCGAAGCCGGTGTTCCCAGCGATCCACCTGGGCACGCAAAACGCCTTGGCAGCAGCGGCTTGAGCCTATCGTCGACATGGCGATGGCGGAGTCCTCAAGCAACGCGGTGACATCCTCGACGGAGGCGCCGACGAGCGTGTAGAGGTCCTTGACGTCCTTGTGGTTGTGGAACTGGAACTCCATCGGCGGCTTTGGACCGCCGCCATTCCAGAGGGCGTTGACCTTGTCAATCTGCTGCTGCAGCTTGTCCTCCTCCGTCGCCGCCGCGCTGATGGCGACAATATCGTCCTTGAACCTCACGACGTTGTTCGCGAGGAGCATGCCGAGCGTGAACTGGTTGTTCCAGTCCGCCATTGTTCTGGAAGTGCCGTTCTCATCCTGCAGCAACCCCACCACCTGGGACACCTTGGCCGTGTGCTCCAGCTTCAGCTTGGGGTTGGTGAGAGCCAGCAGGATGGGCATGATGACGCGCCACTCCTCCACCTTTGACTTCAGCCGCGACACCGCCGCATTGCCCGGCAACTTGGAGGACACCTGCTTGACGGTCGTCACGTACTTCTGCACCGTCTCCTGCACCGCCGGCACGTCGAGTTGCTCGAAGGGGATGAGCGCCTGCTCCTCCGTGAACACGTCCCAGTCCCGCAGCCCCACCCACAGCCGCGCCTTGATGTTCACGTCGTTGAGCATCTCCGTCATGGACTCCACCGTCGTCTCCTCGCCCCCAATGGCAATCTGAAACTGCCGGAGCTCCTTCTCCCGTGCGGCAATGCCCTCCGCCTCCGACTGCAGCTTCGTGATGAAGTCAATCACAGTGGCCACGTCCGCCTTATCGTCGGCGATGATGGGCTGCCCGGCGCGGTCGTACACGTCCTCGATGCGGTGGCGCAGCTCCTCCATCTGCTCATCCACGTTGCGGATAAATAGACGCTGCTGTGCGTCCTTGCCGTCCTCAACAATCTGCATCAACGTCCGTAGCTTTTCAAACTGGGGCCGCGTCCCACTCCGGTAGGTCTCCTCCACGTCTTCGTCAATCTGAACCTTTTCCTCCTGAAGTAAGTTAAACAGCTCACGAATAAAATCGTACGAAGCGGCAATGGTGTCAAAGCGCGCTTCTAATGCCTTGTAATAGGCGAGGTACTCTACATAGTGCTCCACAGTCTTGGGGTGAGCAGAGAGGTACGCATTGCAACCCTGCAAATCGGCCAACAGCAGCTCGTTCTGCTGGTGCGCAATGACGGGGAGAAGTTGATGCAACGTCTCAATGCAGTCCAACGGGCTTGGACTGAAGAAGTCGCGCAGGCTCTCTGTGTGGACGGTAAAGAGCGCCACGTCCTTGGAATTGGGGATCTTACTCGTAATAGCCTCACTTTGGGCCTTGTAGAGGGTGAGGCGCTCACGGAAGAATTCCAGGCCTGTACTGCGCTGCTGCAATTCTTCGGCGTCAAGGCGAGAGTTCTCCACATACATGTCCCTGAAGCACTGAAAGGTGTTCATGTACTCCTCCACAACACCGTAAGCCTTTTCAATGTCCTCGCGTATCGACACCATATTTTGCTTGTACGCCTCCTCCGAGACGATCATCTCACCAACGGCGGGACCAGCAGAAGGTTCCTTCTGGGAGTCATCTGCAGCGTACTCCGTAAACACCTTGAAGGTGTCCATTAGCACTAGGCGTGGGACCGCGCTCAGGGTTTTGATGTAGTCCTTTACAATATCTTCCACACACTCCACAATGTGCGGAAGGGTGGGGGTGATGCCTATGGTTTCATCGTTATCATTGTACAGGATACTGAGACTCAGCACGGGCCCGTCAAATTGCGCTGGTGCCTTCTGCGCCTCCGCCTTGGCATGGGCTTCCTGTCGCCGTGACTTCGCCGCAGGCTGCGAGGGACGCCGCTTCGGAGTTTCCACCGCAGCTACGGGTTTGGGGTAACAAAAGTCGTGGTACACGTCCTCCACGGCCCTTGCGGCCAAATTTGTCAGGCAGTGAATGATAATGTAGTCGCATAGACGAATGAATGCCGTGAGGCGCTGGCAGACGGCCTTCTTTTGCGACATCTCAATGTACGTCGGCTTCTGCTGTGTGCCCAATTCGCGAACATCAATGAGCTTCTTCTTTTTCTTCTCGTCCTCGGCGTGGAGGGCGCCCACACTCTCGCGCTCCATCTGTGCGGCCAACATTGCCGCCTTGCACGCACGCTCCACCGTGTCGCGAATCCCCTTAAGCATCTTTTCCAGGCGATTGCGCTGAAAATTCAAGTGTGTCGCCGCCGCCGCGCAAAAGGCCTCCAACGTACGCGTCTCCGTCGCTGCGAGGTGCATTCTGTTGTTGGTAAGACAGTCCAGGCACATGCGCCACACCGTCCGCAGCGCGGCGGAGAGGTGCGGATGCACGTGAAACAGATTCTTTGTAAGGAATGTTTTGCAGTTCGAGATGGCGTGGTTACGGACAAGTCCGCGCCAGAGGAGAAAGCTTTTCCACTTCTTGTAGTCACGAAAAACCTCCAACTGGCTCAACTGATTAAAAATGCGACAGTCACGCTCCCAGGTGTGCAGCTCGATGAATTCAGCTTCATGCCCGTTAAACTTCGTCACACCCGCCGCCGAAAGGGTGTAGTAGTGCGTGGGATCAATATCCTTGTGCGACACCACCTGCAGCTCGTACGGGTTGTACGGATCGCGGATGCCTCTCGGTCGCATGACAAGATACGTAAACTCGTTCGGTGCGTTTGACCGCGCCTTTGTGAAACGCGGGATACCGCCCGCCCGCGTCCGTGCCAACTTGCCCTCCCCCCCGTCCGTCTTCTCCTTCTCAGCCTGCCCGTGCGTGGCGGTGGCGGGGGGCTTCGGTCGGATGGAGGTGGACGGCGCCTGCCTCAGCGAGAAGGTCGCCGCCTTGTTCTCCGCGCAGCTGGAGGTGAGGATCCGCCGGAGTTCCCGGTCGTGGTAGTTGGGCTGCTGGTACAGCTGCAGGGTGCGGTGGGGCGGGGACGGCGGCTGCGACGACGGGGCCTCCGCGCGGGGTGTCCCCGGGGCGCTCTTCAGCGTCGCGGAGTCCTCCCCCAGCGACGGCCGGCCGCGCACCAACGCCGGCGTCCACGGCACGTCCTGCGCCAGGCGGTTCGGCACGCCGAGCCGGCCCCCGCTGGCGACGCCGTCGCTGTACAGCCGGTCCAGCAGGGGGTTCTCGCCACACTGCGCGTCGTACACGTCCTTCGCGACGTGGTTGGGGTTACGGTGCACCAACTCCTTCTTCTGCACCTGCGGCGTCGGCTGGTAGCGCGCGGCCCTGCCGCTCCCGGGCCCGATATTCATTCCGCCTCCTTTTCACTTCCTTCTTTTCCTTCTTGTTATGGCTGTTGTTGTTTTTTCTTCCTTTTTTTTTCCAGTTTTGCCGCTGCTCTTGCTCCTTCTACTCCTTCCACTTCTCGGCCTCACGGGGGCACGCAAACTTGCAGCGCGGCGGCAACAATAGAGAAGCGAGGCGAACAAAAAGATGCGGGCCAACCGGCGGCGTGCGGGGAGCAAACGCCCGGCCGTGCACAGGCGCAGCCACAGCGAAGAAGCAAATTCCGCAGAAAAAAAACGCATATATATATTATATATTTTGCTGCAGCTGTGGTTGTTGTCGTTGTTCCTCGGATTGTTTGTGTGGAGAAAAACACACACACGCCAAAACAAAAACAAAAACAAAAACAAACAAACAAAAAAAAGGACAAAACAGGAAAAAAGTAACAACCAACCAGCAAAGTTGGACATATGTATATATATATATATGTAGATAGGTAGGTAGGTAGATATGCATGTGCGTGTGCGGGTGCGTGCATGGGGCTGGAGCGAGGGGGAACGGGAGAGAAAAAGACTAGAAAAAAAGTGAAAATAAAAGAAGCGAACATTATACATACATATATATAATACGCGCTCCAAAGCCGCACTGCGATTTGCATGTCACGCCTCCCAAGGACAAGAAAGAGTTGCAATGGTTTATCCGGTTCTTGTACATTTCAATCCTTCTTAATTCTCTCCGTCCAAGCCCCGACCTCGCACCGCGGCTCCGCCCCCACGCCTTTGCCTGGTAAGCAGGCCCAGGCACACCCGCACACACACACATAAGAGGAAAAGATAGCTGCCTGCTACGGCACCATCATTGCTGTACATATTTTATCCATCGCGGCGAGTGACGCGTCGATGATCGCCATGCGCTGCGTCTCCTCGCAGGACTCGAGGTAGCGGAACTCGGCCCCGAACGCGAGGCTCACCTCTTCGTAGTAGCGCACCGAGATGGGGTGCGAGACCGAGTCCAGGAGCCCGGTCTGGCTGTTGCGCCGCATGACGCCACGCATAATGAGATCGCGCTGCGCCGCCTCGCCCAGCTTCAAGTACCGATGGGCGATCTCCTCTTCGTCCTGCGTCTCCCGCCGTATCGTGTCGCAGCGGTGCTGCAGCGGCTGGTACAGTCGCACGTCCAACGGGACAGCCACGACCTCCTCCTGAGGACGCCGTGCCACCGCTGGCCGCCAGTCTCTGCCGAAGGCGCGGCGCCACAACTCCTCGATGGCCTCCACCTGCTTCATCGAGCAGGTCTCAAGAAATGGGAGCGACTCACTCATCCAGGCGTTCTCCATCTCTTTCCGGGCACGGCGCTCGGCGTCGAAGAAGTCGATCATCCACATGGATGAGTGGGCCCTGAGCTCGTCAGTGATGCGGCGGTAGAACTCGGTCTCAATCTCCTCAATATCGTCTCGGGCGAGGGACTCACGGCGCAGAAGGACGTCCAACGGTCGCAGGACCTCCTGCTTCCACGAGGGCCCGCCTCCCTTCGCGTCCTCCTCCTGGCGCTTGAGCGCGCGTGCATACAGCGCCTCATCGATTTCTCTGCAGTCAAGCTCTTCGCCCAGGCCCGCTCGGTCCCGCTGCGTGGCGGCCAGGCTCCCGGCGTTGATGCTGCTGCTGCAATACATGCTCAGGTCGTTTTCGTCCACCGCCTGCATCAGCACCTGGGGCGGCGCCGGTGGCAGACGCGAGGAGATGCGATTCAGCGTCAGCTGGTAATCACGCTTTGCCAGGTGGTAGGCGGACTGCGTGTCCTCCTCTCGATTTAGCGCGACACGGTTTACCACCTCGTGCGCCACGGTGTGCATGGCGCTCACCTGGGCGTAGTGAGACGTCAGCATCCTCCCTCACAGCGTCGCCCTTCCTCTCCGCCAGTGCACCCCACCCCTTGAAGTCTCGAGTCCTGCGTCCCCGCCGCCGGCCGCCGTTCGTTTTCCCTCCCTTTCCTTTTTTCCCTTTTACTCACTTTTCTTCTTCCTCCCCTGCGCCGGCGCGCGGGCTGTCTCGTTCGCTCAAATCTGCGCTGTCCCTCGCTTCTGCGGCCGGGAAGAGGTGGGAGAAAAGAGTAAAGCGCCAGCGCAGCCACGCGAACGGGAGGAGGCCAGCGGAGACGAACCCCGGCGCCAAACCAACGCGCACGCACCCCCCCCCCCCACCTCCGCTTCGCTCGCTCTACAAACACAAACACAAACACACACGCCGCATGCGAGAAGCCTCAGCAGCAGTCCAGCAAACCGACAGACAACAAAAAAAAAAATGGCCACCGACCAACGCATGTAGAAAGAAGAATGGGAGGGGAAGAATAATAAAAAAAAAACGAGGGACGATCCTCCCACAGCCCTTCCTCGCTCCTTGGTTTTCTTGTCTTTTTTTCCCTTCCCCGCTTTCTGTCACGCATCCATCGCCACTAACGACGCACAGAACAATAAGAACAACAACAAAAAAAGAGCCGGTCGTCGTCGTCACACGTCCTGTCGGGCGCGTCATGTGCCGACAACGTCGGGGGCGACGCCGTCGCTCTTGGGGCGCGCGGGCAAACTGGCGGCGTCAGTCACCTCCTCCTCCTGCCGCTGCTGCTGCCGCTGCGGCGACGAGGTTGCGCATGGCGTCGTGCAACCTCCCATGGGAAGAATACTGCGGAGGCCCTCAATACTTCCCCGCATGCTGTTCGCTAACAGGCGCTCCGCCTCGTCGCCCAGGAGCTCGCGCATGCACACCAGCACGTGCGGATAAAAGTCATTCACGAAAGCCCCCACGAAGAGCAGATACACCTGCTTCTCGCCCCCCTCCTCCATGGCCATCAAAAGCTCCTTGTCCCGCGCAAGGTCCTTTGCGACTGTCTGCAGTAGTCCTTCCACCTTGGCGACGCAAAACAGCTCCACGCCGGGGACAACACACTTGCGAATTGCATTAAACGCAGTAAGCAGCCCGTTCAAAGCGTAGGCAAGCGGCAGCCACTGCACAAGGCTCAATGGGGGTGACATGCTTGCGCTCGACGAGGACGTCGGCTCTGCGCGTTTTGGTGAAGGACTCCACTGCAGCCCAGTTGAAGGTCGCCACGAAAACGTCAGCATGGAGGCGGTGTAGGATTGCGTGGAGAGGGCGATCTGCTCTGCAAAGAGCGTTTTAACACGAGAGATGAGAGACTCGTTGATGAGCCCTGAAACATCCATGTGCAGCAACGTCGCGGTGGCGCTGCAGCTGTTGCACTCCTCGATAACGGAGGCCAGTTCGGAGCCGTTGGTGATCTTCTCCAGCGAAGCACGGAAGCCGTCAAGGAAGACGTACGCCCTCTCATGACACCAGGCAACAAGTTCGCTACACGCCCCACTCGCAATCGTCGGGGAGAAGCAGGCTGTGTACTGCAGGATCGCCTCGCCCACGTGCACCTTAAAGGCCGCCAGGTACCTAAAAATGCGAGAGTACGGCACCCCGCTTTCCTCCGCCTCACACAGCAAGCCGTCCATGCACTCCGCCCGCTTCCAGAGAAAGAGGCGGCGTATTTGACTCTCCTCGACCCCGAGCCTGCGCAGGAAGGTTGTCACCTTCACGGCAGAGGCGACAGTCAGTTGCTGCGCCAAACGGGGAAAAACGACCTCCGTGAGCGCCCGCTCCAAGTTGCAGCGCACCTCCACCTCAACGCGGCGAAACAACTCCACCTTCTTCATGGGCTGGGCGGACCGCGTGATGTGCTCCAGCACCATGAGGGCCTCGTGGTACATCTCGTTTCGGATGCAGTCGTCAAGCACGGCGGGGGCCTCCAAGAAGGCAAGCAACTTCTGGTGCTGCGCTACGGTGCCCAGTACAACCTGCTTCTCCCTGCGCCACTGCTGGCCCACCCTCGCCATCGCCTGGCTGAGCGCCTGCAGTTTGCCAAGGGAGTCGTTGAGCCGCTTCACGCACGACAACGCGTTCCCCGAGGCGGCGGCCACCTTGGCGTTCACGTCTTGCGTCTCCGAGAGAAGGGAGTAGTGCTCCACCGCCGCCTCCACGATGCCGCGGCGGACGCCCTCCTCGTCAGTCATACTGGCCTCCATGGAGCGAGGCCAACTAAGTCCCCAATACGAAATACGCTGCAGTCAGGCAGAAAAATGCAAAAAAAAGAAAAAAGGCGCCAAAACATTAGAGGTACAACACAAGGACATGAACCCCCGCAGCGCCAGTCCCTCCATTCAACGATGTGCCGGGATGCCTCGCAGCGCCTCGCCTCCTCCGTGCCTACGCGCAGAATGAGCTGCAAACAACGATGGCACACATACACAAGCATTTGTGTGTGGGCCCCATGAACCCTTGTCAAGAACGTGAGGCTCCATAGAACAGCAAAAACAAAAAAAAAGAGAAATAGATAGGAAGCACTCGCCCTTTTTCTCCCTTCTCCGTTTGTGTGTGAGTGAGAAAGAAAGAGGTCTGTCGGGTTCTTCTGCGTGGGCAAACAAGGCACCACTGCCCTCCCACAAGCAGGGGGCAGTGGTGGTGCTGCAGCGTTTCATCTCACCACTCCTCAAAATACGCCGGTAGCTTCTGCGCCAGCTCGCCAATATTTGCACGCCCAGTGCCGTCGCCGGCAACAGTCGCAAAGTTTTCGCCGCAGTCGACGACTTCGCTGACAGCCTCGCGTCCTCGCTCTTCCGCCGAATCCAAGAGCTGCACAACCGGCTTGTTTGCCTCCACCGCCGTCGCCAACAACTGTGGCGCTGTTTCCCCTGTCGCAGCTTCATTTCCACGTGGCGTATTTGCTTCTGCCTCTGCGGCTACAACTGCTGCTGACGCCGACGCCATGACCACCGCCTCCTTACATAGAGGCACTGGAGACGAAGAAGAAGAGGAGGAGGCGTGGAGTTTGTCTGTATGTATTTCCTCCACGGCGACCGAGTCACACGGCGACGGCAGAAACCCTCGCTCTCCGTCCTTCAACCCTTCATTTCCGTCTGCGCCTGTCGCACGCCCTGAAATCTTGCCGTCCCCCACACTTTTGCTGCCAGCCGCGACTATGCCTGCGGGCAAGCGGGAGGGGTCATTGTAACCCGGCGACACCCCCACTTCATCGCCATTCAAAAGTTTCTGTCCTGCTCCATGAGTCGTGACAGCTTCACACAGTCCGCCGCTGCCCACTCTCCCCAACGACCCCAAGGCCTCGCCCTGGGCACGCCGGGCGGCGCGCAGGACGCCCGTCACCGCGGGTGTACTTCTAGCGAGCGGAGGATACGAAAACGCCGGCAGACTGTCCCACAAAGCCGCAAGGCGATCAGGCACGCCAACGTTTTCTCCTGCCCCCATAGCAGTACGGTCCGCTGTGTGTGCCCGCGTGGGGGTGCTGCCACCCAACTTGTTTAAAACACGTGTCTTCCGCGCAGCAGGGCTCGGCGGGGCTCGCTGGGGCTGCACCCCAGCAGAGCGTTGCCCAACTGAGGGCACACCCCTGGCAGAAGATGGCGCCGTCGCGACAGCAGCAACGACAACAGAAGAACTCGTCGCATTCATCGTCGCCATAGCGGCAGCAGTGTTAATATTAGTCTTAGTAGGCGTGGGAGTGTGGTTGCCAACTACGCGCCTCCTTGGCGCCTCCGCGGGCTGCACCTCGATGAGCTCCAGCGTGTGTCTATGAAGCGCCGTGACGGGGGAAGCCCGCGCCACAATGATGCCGTCCTCTGTGCGCAGCGCCACGCGTGACGGCTGCAGGTGCCGAAACACACCACGACAAGCCTCTACGACACTCTGCGCCGTTCCGTCCGGCGGGACATGAATCCCTAGCGCCTCCTCGTCTCCCGAGCCGCCACGTTTCACCCAAACCTTCAAGGCCATGGCGGCGTGCCACCTCCCTCTTTGGTACGCACCAAGACGAAGTGCGAGTAACAGAATGGAGCCAGACAACGCGACGGTGGAGCCACGGCACACAATCACGCAGTGCAACAAAGCGAGGGGCACACCCCCCAGCGTAACAAGAAAAAAAAAAGAGGGGGAGAGGGGGAGGCTCAGTAGAAAGAACCTCGGAAAACTCACATTTCATCCATCTCAATCCTTCCCTCCATGTGAAATTTTTTTAATGATTATATACATCCGCCATTGCTTTCGCCACCGCTGTGAAACTTGGTGTACTGGGAACTAAGCCACATCGTTCGCAATGAAGGGGGCACGCAGCGTCTTTGGCAGAACACGCACGCAGGGCAACTCAAGCCTGTCCGCCCGCAGCATCACCTCCATGACGTCTTCTTGCAGCCCGTTTTGCAAAACCCGCAGCGTTGAGGAAGCTTTGATTGGCGTAATAAAAAACGGGAACTCCGCCTCGTCCTCCCCAATGCAGGGGGCATCGTGCAAAGTAAATCCCTTTAGGATGACGATATCACCCTCCTCAATGAAGGAGGCCGCGAAGGCCCAGTCATTGTAAAAGTAAAGATGTGCGTAGTCCTCCTCGCAGTGTTCCTTGTGGTCTCCGTCAAGCAGTCGACCGCTCAGGTTGAAGAGCCGCCCTGAGTGGAACTCACGGGGCCGCGACGCACAGACCTTCTCCGCCCGGCACATGAGCGTCTTCCCAGCGTGCGGTACCCCACGAGGCAACTTGGCTAATTCGGAGAGCGCCACATAAATCTCCAGATTCATCGCCCACCACTACTACACACAAGCGCACAACGTGAGCCAGCCACCTATTGTCTTGCGCCTCCGTGGTCTGTTGCCTGCAGCGCGCTCGCCCCGCCCCGCCCAGACAAGGAGGCCGTGCGCCACGCGAAGAATGAACGGACGTGGGACTGCAACGCAAGGAAAAGAAGAAGGAGGGGTGGGCGAGAAGAGAATTCAGGGCGTCGTTTGCCGAGTGCGAGGAAAAGGGACATGAATAAAGAGGGAGAGGAGGAGAGCGAGCAACCCGCAAATGCGGGTACAGTCGCAATGTCTATAGATCAAAAGGGAGTGCCAGCATTCCTTTTTTTTTCTTACTTGTTTTTGATTTAATTCCTCTTTTGAACACAGCGCGAGCAGAAGCCAGCGACGGCGGGAAACGCGGGCACTCGCCTCAACCCATCGCCGAAGACCACACGCAGATCGGTCCTGTGGCGGAGTCGATCATCCAACGACACCACCACCACCAAAAACGGTCTGTTTTCTCTCTCCTCCTTCCCCATTTCATAGTTTGCTTTAAGGGGAAACACACAACAGGATTCTTTCCGTGCTTCAGTAACGAACAGCAAAACAAAAGCAAAAACAAAAGGGAGGAAGACAACGGTGCAAAAGTTATATATAGATGTACACTTCTATCTTTTTTTATACTTTGCGCTTTGTCCCCACGGATGCACACAGTACGAACCAATGAGGGGAGGGGGGAAGATGCAACGCTCCCCTAAGGCACGGATTTCCTGCCATTTCCCCCTTCATACTGAATTACGGGCAGCCTAGGCTCCCGCAGATGCCGCTACAGTCGCCCCAGCGCTCCCTACCGTAGTCCTTCAAGCACCGCGTAGGCGAGGGGAACCATCCACGTGACGAGGCACAAAAAGAAGAGCAGCGTAATGAGGGTCCCACAAAACAGAAAGTCCTTCGCTTTGAGGTACGGCTGACCCGAGGAATCTTCCGCGAGAAGTGAGTTTACGTTGGGGAAGGAGCTAATGGGGAAGGCCATGGCGCCAGAACACATCAGTGCGCTCAGTAGAACTAGCGTCGCGGGGGTGACGGCAAAAATGCCCTCTTGCGTGTGCAACAGGAAGCCTATTTTGGCAATGATGGGCAGCAAGATCATGGCAGCGACGGTGTGCGAGACAAATGTGGTCACGAGAGCCACCACCGCAATGATGATTACAAGCGTCAAATAAGGAGACTGGCTGTGCAGCGTCCCGTGCAGGTTGTTGGCAAGAATATCCAGCATCTTTGAGTCGTGTGCGCAGAGACCTAACATGTTGCCTCCGGCCAGGAGAAACATCAGATGCCACGACAGTGTGTTGAAGTCCTCCTTGGCAAGTATGCCTGTGCCAAAGAAAACGACAATAGGAATTAACGCCACCACACCTGTGTCACCAAAGAGAACGTCCGGCGAAATAATCCAGAGGACGATGGTGATCAGCGACACAACCAGAACCACAACACGGTCCGCAACACTGGGATCCTTCCCCGGCTCTGTACTAACTACTTGCAATGGAATTCCCTTCACGTCCTTAAACGGCTTCCAGACGACAAGAATGACAGCCCACGCTGCGATAATGCTGAACAGTACGACAGGAAGCGCAACCGCAACCCACGCCGCAAAGGACACATTATGGAAGCGCAGCACAGACATCGCCACTGCATTTTGTGGTGAGGCAATGGGAGACAGCATGCCACCGATGTTGCATGCAAAAGCCAACCCAAGCAGAATGCCGTGCGGCGCCTCTGTATCCTCCGGAAATTCCCATAAAGTTCGCTGAATCACACCCAACACAAGTAGCGGGGCCGCAACATTTGAAACAAATGCACACAAAATGCTACTCATCAGCATCACACCCAAAAGGTAGAGGGGGGGCCGATGGGCTGTGAGGCGAAAGAGCGCCGTCGCAGCGTAGGCCTCCAGATTTGTCCGCGACAGGGCCTTTCCAATCGTTAGACCGCCAAGTACGAGAATCTGCACATGATCCATGACCTTCCCAAGTATGATACCAGAAGCCACGGTAGGTGTGGCAACCTCGTTCGTCTGTGGATCGGCAATGATACGGAGAGGGACGGCCACAATTGGGATAAGCATTGCTGTACAAAAGAAGGGAATAGCCTCGGTAATCCAGAGGGTTACAATTAGGCCGAAGAGTGCCACGCAGTTGTGCGCTGGTGGGTGCTCCGTTAGAATTGGAAGAAACATGAGGAGACAAAACAAGGCGGCCGAAAGGAAAACATAGCGCCACTTCGCGTGATACGCCTGCTGCATATCCACATTTTTGTACTGATCCAGGGAATCCCCAAACTTGCGCTCATAATCCGCGTCAATATCTGCCATTAAAGAGCGCAAGCGGGGCATGAGCGTCAGCAGACGAGAACGGCTGAGTTCGGCTTCAACGGCAAGTGTAAAATCCCCTTCACAATGGCGATGCTTCTTGAGCTTCTTTGCCGCCTTACGTATGGCTTCCAGGTTCAACTCTGCAAAGTGTTGCAGCTTGTGAGCACTCGAGTGCCACTCCGCAAACTTGGCTCTTGGGGCGTGCTCATCAAACTCGCGCTTGTGGGAATCCCCAATAAACAGCAAGAAAAATTTCTGGACGACGGCGGGAATACAAGCTCTCCGCCCCACCTCGGTCTCTACCACGGAACTTGCCCTGGAGCTGTCAAACACCTCCGAATCCCCACTCTCGACGGCAGGACGCGCGCCACGGTGGAGACGTTTCCGGTAAAATCGCCCGGGAGTTATTGGGCGAATGATTGGCATGTCGGGATCCTGCTCAAGTAACTCGTCGTGACTTCGCTGTAGTTCCTCCAGTAGCTCCTTAAACAAAGCCTCAGCCTTCTCCAGCTCTTCCGCCACCATGGCAAAAAAATCACGGCTGAACTCAACGCCACTCAACTCTGAGTGGGATATGAACTGTTTCAGTGCCTTGTAGTTGACGTAGGAGTCACTCCACTGCTCCACCATCTCCTCCTGAAGACGCTTTCCGAACTTCATTGTGCCCGCTCCGTCCTATCGCCTGCTTCTAGTTCGTAGTATTTCCTCTTTCCTATGTATACGTGTATGACAGCTATACAGACAGATGAATATGTAGTGGCACGGGGCGGTGACCCACGCGAAGGAATGCAACGACCGTGTCTCAATTATTATTATTAGCACCATTTTTGTTGTTGTTGTTGTTGTTGTTTTTTGTGTTTAATTTGAGGAGGGGAGGCGGCCGTATAAAAATGCATGCTGCGTCTCAAGTGCGGTGGAACACACAGAGAGCGAGAGCAAAGGGAGGGAAGACGTGAGAAGCGCTGAGCACAAAAAAAAAAAAGGAGGGGGGATGAAAAACAATCCATAAATAATTTGCCTGCCCCGTCACGAAAAAAAAATAACGCTTTGCTCGTTGTTGTTGGGGGTGTCCCTTTTACTTCGCCTCTGCACTCACACTCGCTATTGGCGGTGGCACCCCGCAGAGACAAGAGAGAGTGAGGGAAAGCAAAGTGGGAAAAAAAAAGTCTCCCCCCGCCTTAACCCAACACACCACCTCCTGCATGCGGCGCAGTCGGGCAGCCCCCCAGACACACACAAAAAAAAAGCCCAGAGAAATACGATAAATAAAAAATAACACGAGGCGCGTTCAGCCGCCCTCACCGGCGACGGCCGGGGGGAGGGGACCCGGGCAAAGTGATGTGCAAAGCCGGCGTGGGCCATGGGCCCGCTCTAGCGACTTTTTCTCCTCGCGGAGACGGGAAAGATACACGACAGGCTTCCGCAGCACCGCCTCGAACCATTTCAGCCATCGAATGCGGTCCGCAAACCCGCTGGTATGAAGCTGAATCGTTTCAGTGATGGCAAAGTCACTGCTGCTGTCTGGCGGTGACGCCGCCAATGCCACCTGCAGGTTGCTGGGCTGGCTCTGGAAGAGACTCAAGAGGGATTTCGTGCATCCACCCGTGAACTCTGCCCTCTGCTCGAGGAAGAAAACATGTCCAAAGTGCTCCTCCTCCACCATCACACGCAGCTGCCCAACTGGCACCTTATACTTCGCGACCCTCCGAACGCGCTGCGACACGGTGGTGGGATGCATGACAAGGTACTCCTCCTCCGCCGCCGCCGCCTGCCCGTCCCACGCCGAACGCCTTTTGGCCTTCTTGTAGGCAAACCGTCGCGTCTCGAAGTGGTTCTCGCCAAGGTTAATGCGAAGAATGCCTCCACATGGAACGTCCTGAGGGTTTATGTTCTCCGCCTTTTGCGTTCGATCCGCGTCCTCACGACCCGCGGAGGAGAGAAAGAAGTCGATATAGCGCTCAATAACGGCGGGCGCCGGTTTCCGCCGCATCAGCCGCGTGCTTTCCTCCGTCAGCCTCCGCAGCTCCGAGTCGGAGATGCAAACCTCACCACCACCACCACCTGTTCGAACCGAATCCAGCAAAAAGGTGGCGTAATACTTCTCGAGAAAATGCAGCCACAAGTCGCGTTCTCTTGGCGCGACAAACTGCAATTCGACCTTCCGAAAATTTTTCTTCGCCAGCGGGAATGCGGCAAGCGGCTGCCTGAAAACCAGCTGCAAGCCAACCTCGCCACCTGCGCTGAGGACCGACGACAACGTTGGTGAGGCCGCAACGCTCGACTCAGCGTTGCTCGTTCTCATGCTACTCTCTGCGGCATGCGAAGGGGGGAAGTCCCCTGGCAATATTTTGAACACAAACACATCCTTTCCAGGGACGGAGAAGGTGGAGACGTCCACCAACATTGTGAGTGGACAGCTCACGATGACGCCTCCGGGCTCTTGCACTGCCTCGCCAGCACCTATTCTTTTCGGCAAATGCCGCACTACAAACGCCGCTGTGGGCGCTGCTGCCTCCTCAACGGCGACGTAGCGTTCTTCTAGAGAGGGAGCCGCCTTGAAGGCCAGACACGAAGTCATTGAGCGAAGCGAGCGCCCTATTGAAAACTTTGGAGCCTTCTTTGCCGACGGGGGTGACGTGGGTAGATTGGGGTCGTTGTAGTTCCCAACATCCACGACACGCACTGCAGCGCGCGCCCTCAGCCCCTGGAGCCGCTGAAACAGCGCTGAAGGCCTCATACAGCTCGGCGCTTGTCGTTCTACAAGCCGCGGCGGCGACGACGGCGGCGGCGTGTCAGAGCCCGAGTCTTGCAGCCCCAACGATGCCTCCGTGGAGGCCATGCAAAACCCTGCTCCTTTACGCAGGAGAGACACGTGAAGAGAAGCAAAAACAAAAAGGAAAATAAATAAATAAATAAATGAGGCAGGGCACAGGAAAAGGAAAACTGCATGTATACAAAAGAAAAAAAGAGGAAAACTAAAAAAATATTCCTCATGACTCGTAGCATAACAAAACACAGTTCAAATGCTTTGGAAGAAGGGGCCCTCAGTCGGGCGATGAGAGGCTCCATCCTCTTCCCGTTTTTGCTCAAAGTTACCAGTACAGCCCGCACATTAATAAAATGGACCCCAAAAAAAAAAAAAAAAAAGGGAATGGGGGAGTGGGCAGAAAAACCAAACGTGTCTCCTGCCAAGAGGATGAGAAAAACGAAAACCTCACGTCTCAAGAACAGAAGATGCTGACGAACCCCCTCCATACGGGTTGTGACGCCATACAATGCCAAGGGAGGTCGAGTTGTAGGAGCGGGACATGACTGGCGATGCGCCTAGTTTAGGGGAACCTGAAAGCGACACCATTCCAGTCGCCGGCGGCCGGTGGAAGAAAGTTCCGCTACAAGAAAGAATCTGCAGTGGACTCATGCCGAGGGGAATCTCCGTCTCCGTCGCCAGCGTGACAAGTTTGGTGTTCGAACGCGGAGGCGAGCAGCAAACGGTGAGGACGCCCATGGGAGACGGTTGTGTTGCCTGCGCCGCCTCTTCTTTGCTCCTGCAGTCGGCTTTCGGCTCACTTGGCTCATTTAGTTGCTTGACAAGCTCTCGGCACAGGTGAACGTAATTGCACTCGTGACCAAAGCGGCAACATGGACTTGAAGAATGTAGACGGCAAAGCGAATCAATTGGCACCAAAACCACGGCCGGCTTCTCACCTCCACCCTCAGCGGTCTGCTTTTTTACAAGGAATCGGAATCCTTTGGTTACGGTGAGGCGCGCTGGCGTTGTTCTGAGGAGTTGCTCAGTGTCATCACCCCCAACTACAACAACTTCCAGATTCGTCGCAAGACCTTCCACGTCACTTTTCGCGCCATGCTGGGCGCAGCACGTCGGTTCCTGCAGTGCAGCCTCGCGGAGCTGACCAACAACACTGACGTCGGCGTGTGCCTGGTAACAGGAGTTTCCTTGACGGCAGCGGCCTTCCATATGCAGACGGCAGAGGGACGGGACCCCAGGCCTGTGCATTGCGAGCGTATCGCACATGGAGGCTTGTGGAACAAATAGCATTCTGCTAAACGGGTCAATCACTGCGAAGGTGCCCCACGGGGCATCTTCAGCGCTGAGGAGATGCCTCGGAGGTCTAGGCTTCCTCCCCATACTCTCCCTACACTCTAAAAAACCTCCACGGCAAGATAAGGCAAATAAAAAAAAAGCAACAATTATGGAGCAACTGCACATAGTTCTGTTTACGCCACTCTACACATGAATACAGGGAGCAAAGAAGAACTTTTTTTTTCCCCACCTTTTTTTTTTTTCAAAAAAGCAGGGGGAACAACAAAAGACAACGTGCATTTATTTATTTTGTCCTCTTGGACGCTTGAGAAATCCTCAAATAGCCTGCAGGAGGAGGCCCGGACCAGCTCTTCACTTCTTCGTGACCGCATCTTACGCACGCTGCAGTAGCACCTCCGCGCCGGCGGAGCTAACGGCGACAGCATCGTCAACGAAGACGGCACACTGCACAGAGTCCTCGCGGTGGCGCACGGGAAGTGTCGCCCTGGCTCCCTCAAATGCCGCCACGGTGACACACTCAACGTGCCCGCCACTGGCGGGCACTATAATTGTGTCATGCTTGGACCAGCCACAGCGCAGAAGGTCCCGTGAGTCGCCCTGCTGCACCTCGATGCGGTGAAGCAAACGGTCGCTGGTTCTGAGCGCAAAAGGCATGACGTCCCACAAAATAAGCGAGCCGTCAAGACCGTAGGAGACCATGCCGGTGGCACCCGCGTTGAGGGCCACGCAACTCACAACGTCACGGTGGGCCTTAAACCCGTAAAGGCTTCTCATCATGCGAGCATCAAAGCAGCGAATATTCCCTAACACGTCACCAACAAAAAATGAGTCACTCGAAGCCGCAAGCGACGTGATTGGTACCCGCAGATTAATTGTTGCAAGATTCTTTTTTTGCTTAGGATCAGATAACACCAAAAAACCGTCATCCCCTCCAAAAACAACGGATGCATCATTCACCGCCGTCACTGCATTGATCACCGGCCAGTTTATAGATCTTCCACGGCCAGAGAATCGACAGAATGAATGTTCTCGTTGCGCCGTCTCAACATTCCACACGCCGACTGTGCCATCGCCCTGAGCCGTGCAAAGGCGGGTGTGACGCAAAAAGCATGCATCCACAATCGCAGGGCCCTCCGTGGCGATTCTACTGACATGCGTTGGACCGCCACCATTGGAAGCGACATCACTCCTCCATAACAGCCCGAGGCCCCCCACATCGCATGAAGCAAAAACGCCACAGCCGTCTGTGGCAATACCTAACACCACCTTTTGGTGGCCCGACAGAAACCACGAACTCCCTCCATTGGCGCTACTAGCAGGCTTTTCTACGAGCGCCAAGGACATGCCTGACTTTTTTTTTTCCTTGCTCTCTCGCTTTTTAACGTGCATATGTGCGTGCGCATGGCACAGGAGACGGATTTAAGCATGCCAATAATAATAAGAATGAAAAGGCAAAAAAAAAAGTGGACTTAAAAACAATAACCCGCTGCAAGAAAAGTGTTGTCATCTGCGGGGAGAAAGGGCGCTTAAGCTCATCCATACCCACACATACATACAGTCACGAAACAAATAAACACACCAATAATAGTTACGAATACATAAACAGGCTGGCATGCCTGCTACAATAACACACTTATCCGCCCTGTGACAACTTCATTCTAGAGACAGCCGTCGTCGCTAATGGACCCCGTAACCAGGGGGATTTGGGAGAAGTGGCCCGTGCTTGGCTTCGAACGGGGCTCCTCGTTGCGTTAACTCCCGATGCATTTCCCAGTGCGTGGTAAGTAGTTCCGGTGGTGCCGCTGATACCCGGTTTAAGGTGCATCCCTCCATGTGTGGCAACCCTCGGAGAAACGGGGGTACTTTTCACCTTAGCAGGCTTCCCCAATAAACGCACAGACCTTCCGGTAGGTGTGGCACTTTTCCGCGCACAAGGCGACTTGGCAACCAATGTCGTCCGCTTGTTCAGCTCCATGGACACGGCGGAGACTGGCTTTCTGGCCCTAGGACTGACGCTGGTCACAACATTAGGCCGAGATGGGGTCACTGGCCGAGAAGGAGGCCTCTTCGGCGCAGCTCGTGCGGCAGGAGAGGCAAAACGACGGATAGGGGTGATCTTCCGTTGAGCCGTGGCAGCACGCACTGCAGAGGGAGCATGTCTTTCTTTTGCAACGGGTCTGAACACCTCCAAAGAGGCCTCTCCGACGGACTCCCACAACTCTAAATGCTTTTCCAGTTCCCCCTCTTCGCTGGCAGAAAGATGGCCATTTTGTACGTTGTAGTCCAAGGCAAGCATCACATCCACAAGGGCCAGAGCCAAACTCTGCTTTTCAGACACAGGAAGTTTTGTAAAATCCAAGTGAGATTTCACCATGCGCCGCAGGGTCCTGATGTACCGCTCCAACAGTGTCTTGGGGTTGGAAGTTGAGGAAAGCAAATCCATCAATACGCTAATTCGACGCACCACGATGGAAGACGCAATGAAACACTGCGCTTTCAGTCTCCCAACGCGTTTTCGCACCTCAATACAAACGGGGTCCTCCAATTTCCTAGTCACTAAGTGAGAGTTGCCCTGCGTTTGATTTCGCCTCCTGTCGCCGCCGCCTTCAATAAGAGCCCTCCCCACAGATTGATGCACTTGAAGAAGCAACTCGTGGGTGAGTTTCGTCTCCGTGTTAAGCCTATTTAACAGCTCCTCTGCGGCAAAACCGCCACCGCACCGGCCGTTAGCATCCCGTTCCCTGGGCGACACCTCGTTATTGTTGCCCACCGAATACGCCATTTGATGCGCAATCATGCGGACGGCCTCCGTCATCCTCCGCGTGAAGGCCGTGACACCTCCGAGGTCAAGTTTCGCGCCGGTCAATATGGCGTCGCTGCCCATTTGGAGACGCCTTGCCTGGTGCGGGTCGCCATGAGGGCCCCCGTCGCCTGAAGCCTCCGTCGGAAACGCAAAATCAAACAAAAAGGCAATGGACCATTGAAGCTCAAAAAGACCATTACGAAGCTCTCTGACATCGTTTTCGGAATAAGGCAGCAGCTCCCGCATCTCATCGGCCTCCTCCTTCGAAAAATTCTTCTCGACGGAATTGTCAGCCACAATACAAAGAGAAAAATTGCTGCCGCCATTGCTGAAGCAACCGCAGTGTGCCAAATTCAGCGTTACGGAATCGGCCTGGTACGAAAAGCCAAACGCCGTCCGCGTCAGCACGCCGGTGGTGGGCAAAAAGGGGAGAGCAATGTCCCCCGCAGGGCCAAGGGTGACGGCGTCGCCGAAGCCCATCCACCCCAGCTGCCACACAAATGACGCGGTGTATTCGCAGGGTGGGTTGTTAAGGATCAGCCAAGCCCTTTCGTTGGCGTCACGCTCAAGCCGCAGCCGCAGCCGTTCACTGTATTCTTTCAACTGTCTTACTTCACTCTCGAGTTGGCTATGATGTGCCTGCTGAATCGTGGTTGAGGTCACGGAGTCAAACTCCTGGCAGGACATTTCCCAGTCTAATATCCGCGACCCGGTCGTCACCGGCGGGGTTGCTGACACCATAACAAAACGAAATATTACCTCATTCCCCAGCACTATCCGATCGTTATGCCGCAGGACAATCTCCGATGACAACAATACACCATTCACATACGTCATGCCGCATTCTGGGCGGAGGGAAACGGTGCTGTCCTCATACTTGACGCGGCAATGGGGGGAGTAAATGCTTCGTTGACCAAAACATTTTTCTGACGCACTCAAGGGAAATACAACAATGTCAGTACAGCCCGCATTGCTTTTTTCCGCCACGATGTAGCTAATACCGTGTGAAATGGCGTGGGCCAGCTTCTCCCCCACCGCAAGCTGGGGGTTTAGGTTGATCAAGTAGGGACCCTCCGACTGGGGCGCAAAATGGCAGAACTCGTTCAAGAAGAGAGACCATGCCCTTGCATTTTCTAGACAGGCCTGAGGATTCACCTTTGCATCCTCTCCGAACACAGTGGTTCGACAAAGCTTACGCAGATCCTGTGCCAGCGCCAGGCAGTGATCTACAAAAGAAGGACTTCCAGAAAGAAAATATACGCAAACAGATGTGATTCTTGTACCTAGTACTGTACCCACATGCTCTGCTGCACGAGACAAATTACCTTTTTGTGCAGCTTTGGTCCAAAGCATTAACGTTAAACGAGCATCGGAAAAGGCAAAAGAACGACTGGTAGGTTCAACCACGGAAGCCTGTATGGAGCAGCATCGGTGCTTCCCATCCTCCTCCTCGACGATCGCCTCAATATCGCTTAGACGCTCGCAGCGGTAGTTTAATATGTCACCAGCGGCCTCATCAATGAAAGACACGTTGAACCTTGTGTAGGAGCCTCTTGGGGCCATAAAGTTCACGGCAAAATGGGAAAAAAGCGCCCTCGACAGGGCCTTTCCACTCTCGTCGTCATCCATCACTGCCAACACAAGTGTACTCTTCGCCCGCTCCTTCATTATGCCGGCGAAGATGGTTTCATTTTCGCCACAATAACGAAGATTTTTTGCGCCCGCCAGAAATGCACGACATGCCTCTGAAGCGGCAAAGTAGCAGTCGGTAACCGACATTATTTCAACTGCCTTTTGAGAGGAGCAAAAAAAAAAAAAAGAAGGGAGGAAAACAGAAAATCAAAAGCCGGGTAATTAAACGCGTGCGGGCACGTGCAAAGTGTTTCCCATTCTCGGTAGAGTCAGTGGGGCAAAGCTGCGAAAAATCGGTCTAAGAACTTGACGGGGTGGAGTGTAATGGGGCCCGCAGAGCTCTTTCTTTTTTTTGCCATTTTGGTTTTATTGTTTATGTGTCTGTGCCATGATGAGCCTCTCACATTTCCTTTTCCTCTAAGTCAGGAATGCAAGTTGCCCTCTGATCTATGTAGTCAATGAAGTTGCGCTTCAAAAATGCTTTTAATGCAGCTCCGCTCAGATTTTCCCCCGCCGCCAATAGCTCATTTTCCTCGTCGGATTCAGGCGAGCAGGTGAAGGCACACTCAATGGCCACATCACCCCCCGCCTCTCCCACGGTGGCGCAGGAAGCGACATCCAAGCTGCTGCTGGCCGCGCTCTTCTCATCCTCGCCGCGACTCTCGGTCTTCGGAGTTGGCGCCGCCTCCTCCCGCGCCCTCTTTCTCGTTGGACCCCCCATCGCTGTGCAGCCAAGGCGGAACAGAAGCTAACTCGACTATAAGACTACACCGATAAAGGAGCTTGAGGGGAAGAGGCGGAGACAGTGACCTCGGCGCAGTGCGTTCAACGTGAGCTGCGCAGCTCACCGCGCTTCAGCAGCAGAAGCCGCTTTCGCAGAGGGATTTTCGGTCAAAAACGAACATGGGCACACAACTTCTCTCGTTATTTTTTCCCCTTTAATTTGGCGCCAATCGTCTCAAGGTCACTGTTTTTTTTTAATACTATTTCCCGTTTTGTTCCAGCGTCCTCGCTCTCTAATCATTGTGACCATGCGTATAAAGAGTCTTGTCCTTCTGAAAAATTCTATCGGCCTTTACTGCAGTCGCCGGATTTGTCGCATAGCGATACGGCTTCCAACGCGCCCTCGTCGTGACTTGCGGCCCCAAAAGCCCAACGTTGCAAAACAGTCGCTTCACGGGGCGGTGGTGGTAGTTGCACAGCTGAAACTTGTCCTCCATTAAGTACCGCATGAGCACGTACACGCCATCCTTCTCCACACGGTCAAACGGTCTAAAGCGAGTGTCCCATGGCTCTGCGCGCTTCGAGGCACTAAACTCCACGTAGGCCCGGAGACTGTCAGCAAGGACGCGGTGTCTGTCAAGGAGATACTCGTCGCGCCACTTTTGTGCTTTTTCGTGAAAGCCCTGACCGACTTTCGGGCGCTTCTTTGGCTTCGCCCAGTACCTACGCTGCGTGAGCGTGCTAGAGAGAGCCATGTGGCAGCCTCGCAGGTCTGCCCCGCTCGCAAAGAGCCTGTGAAGCATCGGCAACCTGAGACCCCCAAAGGCAAGGAAAAATTAGAAAGGAGCTGGAAGCAAGAAAATAAAAAAAAGTGGAAAGAAAGAGGCAGTGTGTGTGTGTGGGAGGAGGTGGAGAAACAGGGCATTAACAGCCGCCACACACCCTCATCAATAATCACCATCATCATAGGCAAATAGCGCGGTGGGCAGCAGCTAAAACACGTGAGCATCGCTCTCGAATAACGCGGGTACAACAGCAACAACGAGAAAAATAAGAATATGAAGCAATTCCCTCGAAATCACTCGCGACTACGGCGGGTCTTGGAGTCCAGCAGCTGCTCAAGCTTCGCAAGTTGGCGTTTCATGGCGTCAATTTGCTGGCGCAGATCCACCGTCTCCTCAGGGGTGTCCACGTGCTCCGTGATGTCGGAAGTCGCCTCTTTTTCACTCACAACCTCGTAGCGTTTCATTGCTCTGGCTAACCTGACCTCTTCCGCAGCTTTGGACGCCTTCTGGCGCCGATACTGCTCTCGCACCGCCTCCTTTAGCACCTCACACTCCTCGTTCTTCTTCAACTCCTCCTCTGTGGGGTCCAGGGCAGCCTTCATCGGGTCATCAGGCAAAGGTATTCGGCTAAAGAGGCTTTGCACCATTGCGTCCAGCTTATGCAGGTTGGCAGCGTCGGCCTCCGGGCTCTCGAGGTGGTCCAAGTCACTTTGCCTAACACAATTCCGCAGCGTCTCTCCGATGCCGCACTGCCTTCGGTGCTCCTCCTCATTCAGCTCCGCCTGCAGAGTCCTCACGAGCTCATGCGGCACGGTTCTTGTTCCAAGGACGCTGCCGAACCCTGACAGGCGGCGAAGTCCTCTGGGGAGCGGCACAAGAACGAACCGGCGAGGGCACATCCCTGGCAACACAAGACGCATAAATTCACAAGAGGGCGGGAGATCACCAAAGAAAAAAAAAGGGGCCAGACACAAGGAAGAAGAAAAAGGAAGCAACTACAATAAAAAAAACCGCGCAGTGGCTCTTCGCGGCCGGCACGCATCGTTGAAAAATGCCGCGGAAAAGGGAGTGATAAGCACATTTGTTTTATTTTTTTTTGCCGCTTTTATTTCCCAATAACAAATGAATTTTCATGGCCGTCATCTTCTCCCCCCCAGCACACACACACAAGAGGAGACTCGTTCCTCAATACTGGGAGGCGGAATTGACAAAAACCAACAGGAATCAAAAACAAAAATAAAACCAGCGCCCAAAGAAAAAACAAACAAGCAAAAAAAACACTGCAATGACACCTGCCTCGTCTGTAAAAAAAACAGAAAAAAAAACAGACGCGCGCTCTTCCAAGTGAAGATGGGACGTTGCGAAAGCCGCACCCGTCCAAAAAGCTGTGAGGAGAGGAAAAGCGTGGGGAGATTAAAAACCCACAAGCCAAGCAGGAGCCGGAAAGAAAAATAAGGAAAGGAGTGGAGAGAAAGAAGCGACGGCACACCTGCCACCCGCGGCCGCAAGAGATAGAGACAGAGAGGAGAGAAGTCGAGGCGGAGGGAAGATGCATATCATCGAGTAATCGGAGAGCACCTGGCAGGATCATCGACGCGCTGAAAAAGGTGTAGGCCCTTGTCTGTGGCAGTGATGCAATAACCCTCCAGCGGATAGAGAACGTGATGCCATGTCGTATCCCCCGTACTCAAGCGCTCACTACTTACAAAGATTTGATCGCCGTATTCAAATACCCCAATTCGTTCGGCACTCAACGATGGTTGAGAGCGAACGTTGACACTAGAGTGTGGCCGACAGACAAAAAGACAGCTTGCCCCCTTAAGCCGAGGATGTTGCCATGGCCATGAACGCAGCACTGGGACAAAGAGGGGAAGTGCAAGTAGTTCCCTCGCCGTGGGCCGTTTGGTGCGACTCTTAGTTAACATCTTCATTACCAAATCACCCAGGGACTCAGAGTAATGGCCTTCCCTTAGTCGACACGGATGCACCGCTCGTTTCTTTCCAAGGTATTCATAGACTTCTTCCACACTAGTTGCCGGGAATGGAAGCGCATTTGTCATCAATCGATAAAACGCCACACCCAGGCTCCACACATCAGTTTTCCTAGTATACTCCAAACCAGAGACGACCTCTGGGGAGAAATACAATGGTGTTCCCAAACGTGTGACGGAGGCCTCATCCGTAAATTGCAAGGCTTTGCTCAGGCCAAAATCACCAATCTTCACCATGCCCGTGGAACGCTGAAACATGAGATTCTGCAGTTTGATGTCCCGATGTATGAGATGCTTGAGATGGACATGGTCAAGCCCCATCAGCAGCTGTGCGAACATTGAGAGCAGTTGAGACTCCGAAAACGGAAAGGCGAGACCAAGGTGATTCTCCAGGTCCCCCCCATCACAATACTCCAGCAGCATGCAGCATCGATGATCCTCTGGCTCAATCCAGGCGCGGTAGCACCGTACAACATGGTCGCTTGTAGTCAACAGCATATTTTTTGCTTCGTCAAGAACGCGATCGTTACCTCGGGCCGCCTTTGAGCACTTGAGGACGAACAAAGAGCCCTCGTTGAGGTGCTTCACAAGAAAAGCATCTCCAAAGGCCCCACTTCCCAGAAGTTTGATGACAAGGTACTGGCCATCAATAATGTGCGTTTGCCGCTGCATTGCTGCTACACTCTTCAAAGCAACCAGACAAGGTAGAGCACTCGCTTTGAGCCAAGTAATACGCGACAAGAAACATCCACACTGAGGTGCATGCACGCAAACCAAACCAAACCAAACCAAAGAAAAACAGAACATAAAAAATGTCCGCTCACAGAAAAAATCGAACCAGAATAGAGCAAAGAAAATAAAAAACCTTACAAATCAAGCCTCATTTGTCGTTCTAGAGACCTAAAACCCAATTTCTTATAAAACTCCACTGAAGTCTCTGCACTATCGAGGATAACTTTATAGCAGTCCCGTGAACGGGCAATATCGCAGAGGTCACAGACAAGGGCTTGTCCAAGTTTCTTGCCCCTGTATGAGGGATCCACGACAACATCTTCAATATGCCCCACGGACTTCCCACCACGCGAAAACTTGGGCTCGACAAACAGCGACGCAGTCCCCACAACGCGCCTGGTTGGCCGGTGAACCAGCACCCTCGTGACTATGCCAGCTTGACGGCGCGCCTCGGCAATTGCACGCAAAGTAGACGAGTCTAAATCTGGTGCGTCCGTCAGATGCCTGAGGAGTTCTAAAAGACCCGGCGCGTCCTCCTCTTCAACATCCTTTAATTCCACTTCACCGGCTGCATCCAGCATCTCTACCGCTTAACTCTGGCCCAAAGAAAGAGGGTTTCCAATGGGCAAAGTTGCACAAACACCACAACAAGGACTTCACATAAAACCATCATCGTCCACATCACAAAATTCACCTTTACACACTTCAAAAATTAATGGGCGCCAAACACGCTCTTAAATTGCGGAGCAGCTTTGTAGTTACCCGCAACAGCAGAAAAAGAAGACGGCTTGAATGTTGTACTGGCGTTTGAAAACACACTAGCAGAACCAGCCCCATTGGCTCCCACACCACCAATTGCACCTACACTTCCTTGTTGGCCAAAGGCTCCGTTTCCACTTGATGGCGGATTGCCAAAAACACTCGCAGTCCCACCAAAGGCCCTCCCTGCCGTTGCTGCTGGACCACTAACAGCATTCACCTGACTAAACGCACCTGGCCCCCCAAAGGAGCCCCCCGCAGCGGTACCAGAAGAAGCAAAAGCGCCAGCTGGTTGGGCAAACACGCTTCCGGAAAACGCTGACGCAGTCGGATTCAAACCCCCAAAACCAAAAGCACTCGGGGCCCCGAAACTCGGAGCAAAAGCACCAGAGACGGGGGAGAAAGCGCTCGACGGAGGCCCAAAAGACCCACCAACAGCATTAGGTGGATTCGCACATATAGTTACCCCGGTTCCGCCCACCCCACTCGCGGCTTGTCCAAACGCCGGTGTTTGTGACGTGCTGCCCGTCGCGGCCTGCCCAAAAGCGGACGACGTATTGCCCGTCGCGGCCTGCCCAAAAGCGGACGACGTATTGCCCGTCGCGGCCTGCCCAAAAGCGGACGACGTATTGCCCGTCGCGGCTTGTCCAAACGCCGGTGTTTGTGACGTGCCGCCCGTCGCGGCCTGTCCAAAGGGCACTGCTTTATCGCCCATCACAGCTTGTCCAAACGCCGGTGTTTGTGACGTGCTGCCCGT